TAACTCACATCTTGCTGCGAGAAGCCATTGCTGCCCACTCCATTGCTGAGCACTTTGAGAGATTTTGATGACATGCTGTTTCTCGCCATCGGAGACCCGCTCGACTACCGTTCCAGCCAGTTCGATCGTATTGTAGTTACTTGCTACTGCTGAAGAGTGTAAGCTGATGCATAATTTCTTGCCACGACTCTTTTACTCAAGAAACGAATCATCCTAGGGATCAGAGCTATGCGCTATCCTCGTCTAGTGGTCGCTGCCAACGCTGTCTCTCAATTGCCGCTCTCCAGAAGGACGGGTGGGACCCAACGTATTCAAAAATCGAGTTCCTTTCTGACCTCCATCCCCAACATTTTCCCGTTCGCGAAGCGCTGAATATGGCACAAAATCCGACAATCGCACGGGCGAGGTTGAGACTGAGCTAAAAGGGTCAGGAGGCATTCGGAGTTCTAGTCCCCGACAGGAGGCCCGTCGCGCGGCAACAAGGCAGAGTCAGCGGACGAGTCGCAGCGCGTACTGTAGTGATTTCGCGTCAAGTAGAATGTCCATTGCACGTCCTACATCGCACATCACGCGCTGCGACTCGTCCGCTGACTCTGCCTTCTTGCCGCGCGATGGGCCTCCTGTCGGGTACCCGGAGTTCTCTAGCTCAACCTGAGTTGCTTTTGCGAGTAGAACCGTTTTGTGACGGAAATTGGTGGCAGCCACTTGGGATCAACGTGGACCTTCACTCCTACAGTCGGGTAACGTACCAAGCGCGTCCCACCCGACCTGACTCTTCAGCCACCTTCAGCAAACTCCGAATGGGAAAACGTTTTGGGCAGAGGATGTGGTCAGGAAGGCCTTGATGGCTCCAGCTTCACTGGAGACGAGAGAATCGACAGGCTGCCCTGACGCTGGCTTTGTATGGTAGACGAGGATAATGCATACCTCGATCTAAGGCCTCTTCGCTTTCAAAATATGAAGAGTTGTGGCGAGAAACTTTCATGAATAAAATACAGCTTTCACTGCCATTGCAGAGAAGCGAAAATGAAATTGCGGCTCACTAACCTCCTGCAGTGGGTACCTTTTCCGGCAAAATCTCCTGAACATAGGACGCAGGGAACCAACCAACTGATGAGCCGTATCGACCTGTTAGTGTAGTATTTAACGAACATTTACGTGAAATTGATCTCAAAACATCGACACTAGTGCCTGCCTGTTCATATACTAGTTTTACAGCAAGATTTGCTCTCGGGATTAACTCCTAAACGACCGCTGAGTAAACTTCTCAGCAATCCTTAGGAGTTCCAAACAAAAAGTCCCTTGGATTATTCAAGCCGTGACCGCCAAATTTTGAAAGCCGGTTTTCATGAACCAGCAGCGGTGTATCCTTGACAAAATTTTATAACACAGAGAGGCACCAAAATTTTATTTCTAAAGAATTCCAAAAGTTACAGGGATGTGGTACCATAGAGAACCACGCCGTCCCAGGAGTGTGATTTGCTGGGACAAAATTTCGAATAAACTTTTGGAATTCTTTTGAAATAAAATTTTGGTGCCTCTCTGTGTTATACAATATTTAGGTGCTGATGAGGCTCCGGGACAGCACAATATTAAGAATCTTGATAAAATTGTTTCAAATATTGCTCGAGCCTTTTGAGCGAAGGGAAGTTGACAATTCTTGCTCATTATCAACACTTGGGGCATGCAACACTTCAAATTATATCACCCAGTGTGACTCTTAACTAGCCAGAAAGTATAGCTTTTCAAAAGGAGGTGGTTCGATAAATTGGTCTCTCATTAGGGATGAAAGTAGAGCTGCTAGTAGGCATAACAGTGATGTAAAACTTAGGAGAACGCTGAAATCCAGACAACTGATCCCTTGTTTCCTCGCTGATTTCCGCTTTAGAGCAATCCCATTAGGATGGAAGGATATCAACATGACCATTCTTGCCTGCTCTGCGGCCTCTTGGCTGAAAAGCTAGAGTCGACGGCGCAATTCGGCTGGGGTAGTCCAGTCCCGGTGGGCGGGCATGGTAAGCAGGGCGTAAAAGATGATTTGCTAGGTCGTATAAGGCGCTGCAAATACGAGACCTTTTTCGCTAGTTGGGCAGTGCCTAACTCTTCTTACGACAGTGTGTTTTGCCCAGTCTTCACATAAAATGCGGCGCAACCGCCCTCTGACTAAGGATTTCCTTTAGACGTTCAGCAAGATCCCGCAGAAACTTTCTACTCACCTGTCCAGAGAGACTCTTCCTTACGGAGAACCGTTATTATAGCATTTGCAGGAAATGAGAGATCATCCTCGCCAACACCTCTGTACGGTCGGAGGGCACGGGCCATAATCTGGAATCCAGGCCATTAACAAACTTAGGAAGATCTTGGCTCAAGAGACTTCCAATAATAAGACCTTTTTTAGCACAGTGGAATAAAAGAGCGCTGCAATTGCATAACCCCACTTCTCTTCGAGTTGGCGCATAACTCTGATAACTGCCCTGGGCTATTTCCAGATGACCTAATCCCAAATTCATGTCGTTCTCGTCAACTGGAAGTCGTAGCGAGATTCCACGCACGAACTCTCGAGTCCGGTAGTATTCAACAATTTTGATTCAAATTCTCAAACACCGTCTGATTCACCACGAAAATGCGCCCATCACGCTTCAGCCGATAATGCCAGATCTCTCCATCTACCCTGACATAAAAGATACGATCAGTAGGAAAGACCTATCAAAAGGAAGTAGGATTTAGTTACGGACGCACTCATTCAGTCCCTTACCTGATTGATAAGACGAAAACGCTTCTGTCGCTGCTGGAGTATCTGAGCAGAAACGCACCATCCTCTGGTACTTGACTGAGAAGAGCCTCCGCTTTCGCCTTGTCAGCCGTTTGTGAAAACCATCTGAAAACCACCTTCTCAAATCCGTGTGGAGGACACATCCACGCTGATAATCTGTGAGGTTTCGCGCATTATGAAATCGAACGTGGACGAAGTGTACGGGTGGCAGTTCCCGATGAGTGGAGGAGAGTAGAACGAGAGCGGCCTGAACCATTAAAATCAGCACCACGAGCTACATTTGCGTGGAAGGTATTGATATGCTTACCATGCTTGTCACCATAAAATGACCTTGAACTATAGGATAACCTAAAGATCTGGAACATGGAATCTTAAAGGCAGTGATAACGGGGAGGGCGTTGGGGTTTGAGTGACGGAACGCCATGGAGAGAAGCGCCTTGAGATGCGGCCTAAAAAAAATCCCTCAGCGCGATGAGGGTCCACCAATGACCTTCAGAGTCGTCATCAAAACTGCACTACTCCCCCCCTCTCATGCCATCGTGACTACTTGTATTCTAGTCCTTGCCGTAGTTTACCGTATCGAGAGAGGGCCGCTTCATGGAAAGAGAGCCTAGGCGCAAACTGTACCCACACAATTTGCGTAAGATTTCCTCCCCACCTCCCCATCAATTCTTTGATTTCAATGTTTTCAGTCCAATATAAGTATTTTTTCTTCTATATTTTCAGCAGTTTCGTCCACCATCTGCAATTACTTGTGGCCCAACAATTAGGACATTTACTTTTTTATTGTGGGCGCGACCTGCAAACCATTCACATGTCCGTAAAGTCCTTCGATAGGGTTAATGAGAAAGTTTGAGAATGTATTCCTCCTTAGCAACAATCGAAAGGCAATAACAGAATTCACTGATAACTTACGGCTGACTCAGGTGAGGCTGTGGTTGAGGGCATGGCGTTGTGAGAATCATTTTGAATGTCGGAGTGGTGAGGTAGTTTCGGGTATAGTATGATACCAGCTCGTACAACGTGTCACACACCTTATTCTCCATGAAGTAGTATTTCTTCTCTCCTGAACATAGACTTTTATCTTTAGAATAGAAGTAGTGGAGCAGAAAATTTCGAATAAGGAATCCCAGAAAGAAAATTGTGCGGATCAATTTGATCAGTGGATTACGACCCACTCAACAGATTCTTAAAAAGGGAAAGTTCTTTTATATAGTGTGATCAGGAGGGTGTTAAGGCGCTGTTCAAGCCCCATCGGCGTCCTTCCTCGAGGAGGTATTCAACAGGCTGCCCAAGCAATGGCGCCTTGGGGCAGAGAAGTATGGTGCATACTTCTCATCTTCAGGCGAGTTCACTTTCGAATACTATAGACAAAAAAGTCAGGGCGATACGTAGTATACCCCACGGGATCGTGCACTTCTTGGGTGTATCGTAATGAGTTAATGACTAAACAATGAATAAGTAAATATTAAAATATAATAACAAATATTGAAATAGAAATAATAATCCATAAATAAAAGCCCTTTGAAATGAATGAATGACAAATCGTCATTCCCCAAATCCGAAAAAAAACGTGCCAAAACTCACTGTCGACGATTCTGGTCTTTATTCGAACATGATGGACTTTTTCGTCGTGCAGAATTGTCAACGAGTAGTCTCCAATGAAAAGATTAGAGTCTCTAACCATGAACAGGCCATTTCCTCGATGTTTGTGTTGCAGTATTCGTTCTTTTGCCTCCTAGATTTCGAATTGTTACGATAAAATCGCTCAGCTATAAAAAAGACATCGGAAGAAGCCGAAAATACCTCTCGTTCACAGTGTCCATGGAACCATTCCTCTGTGATGTGTTGCTCTTCTGGTCGGATCCCAAATCCAGCAAACGGCTCATCCTAAAAATGTGCTAAACGAAAGGTTATGCTCCGCAATTTTTTTTTTCGTC